GGACCGGGATGGTAAATCATTGGAGTCTCTGGCAGCGGATCATGCCCTGCCTTGGGGGGAACCACGTCGCGCGGGGCTTTCTCGCGAATAGAAACTTCGGCGGAGTTGGTGATCTTAAACTTGTCACGAGGGGACCATAGCCTCCACGACCGGCTTTTAGGGTTGACACCGACCAGAAACATCTTCTCAGCCCTGGCAGCCAGTTTGTTGGGCCTGTCCCCCGCTTCCACGTGCTTAAAGCATACCGAACCGAATTCGCGGATGTGGTGCAAGCTGCCAAGCGGTTTGTTCTCCCATACCTCAAGTGGTGCCTTGCCGCCCAAGACGTCCGTAGGCGTGCGATTCAGTATATAGATCGCGTATTGGAACGCTTCGGCCCACAGACTCTCCGGTAGATGAGGTGCCCCAAGAAGAAGGCGCCGCGTTATGGCTGCGACCGTGCCAAAGCCACGCTCGGCGACGGCGTTGCCTTGAGGCATGTACGGGGCGTTGGTCTCGATTTTGATTCCAAGTGATGCTGCCAGCGCCGCGAACCTTCCCTTGAACTCGCCCCCTCCGTCGCAGTGTAGCGTGGTGATACACAGTCCTTCCGGGTCGGCTTCCTCCTTGACAACAGTTTCCAGCGCCTCAGCAGCTGCATCTTTGCTCTTGATGGGAAAACCAAACCTCATGCGGGTATTGTCACACGTGAACATCACCGCACCCTTGTGTCCACCGAGAGATTTTACGGAGTGCGACCAGGTGTCTACGTGCAAGAGCGCAAGACGAGTGCCGGCGCGAGGTCGGTTAGCCGGTGGGTGACTAGACTTCTTGCTGTTGCCGACAGCACATACCTCGCAGTCGCCAGACTCGATGTTTTGGTCAAATTTAACCCCAGAATGCTCCTTCCTCGCCAGCTGCTGGAGGGCGCGCGGATTACAGTGGCCCATCCTCCGGTGCCACATGTGTGCATTCACCTTCGTCTTGAGCAGCATCGCGGTCCCGTCCATCCTCATGTCGTCGAGGACAATGTTCACGCTGTACATCCGCGAAATCTCCGTGGAGATGGGGAAGGCCTGATCGCTGCTACGGAGTGCTGGAGGAGTAGACAGAAGATCGCACATCACCCCCCTTTCCTTCAGGGCTCCGACCGAGAGGATGTTCGCTCCTAGGTTGTCAACCAGTAGTACTTGTAGCTCCACCGGGACGAGTTGGTTCCGGTCGTTTGAGATGCCGAAACGCAGGATACCTTTCTGAGCCGCGCTCGACGTTCCACACGAACCTTTGATCCTCACGTTGCAGTCCGACTTCTCGGTCACGTGGCGAGATGCGTAGGAATCCGCGCTAACCATGTGGCTAGACGCTGCTGTGTCTACGAACATAATGGTGCTCCTGGCGGACTCGTCCTTAACCTGGTACACACTGGTGTAGGCAACTATATCTGTTGCATCAGCAAGCGGGTTCTGCACCTGAACGTCACTAGCAGCATCAGCAGCACGCTCCTCGGGCAGCGGCACAGCAGGGGTATCCAGCACTTGCTCATCGTCGGCAGCGCGCTCCTCTGGCAGCGCCGCGGCAGGCGCCTCCGCCACCTGCTTCTCAGCAGCAGCGCGCTCATCGGGCAGCGCCACAGCAGGCGCATCCAGCACCTGCGCATCATCAGCAGCGCACTCCTCTGGCAGCGCCGCAACAGGCGCCTCCGGCACCTCCTCCTCAGCAGCAGCGCGCTCCTCCGGCAGCGCCGCGGCAGGCATTTCCAGTGCCTGCGGATCGTAGATGACAAGACCTTCCTGCACGCCCACGGCGGCGCGCTTCTCCGGCAGCGCCGCGGCAGGCATCTCCAGTGCCTGCGGTTCTCCAAACGAGATGGAAAAGTCCTCCGGCTCACCGCTGGATTCCTCGACTCGGGTGAACCATGCCTGCGTGGACGGTTCCGGCGCGGCGGCATTCGCCTGTTGGGCGTTATCCTCTCGCACGTTCTCCAGGCGAAGGGGGCAGCCGTCCCATCCGTGCTCTGTAGAGTTGTGGCAGTACTTGCAGCGTCCCTGACGGTCTCGGCCCTTTTGGTGACTTTTGTTTCCGCCTTTATTGGACTTGTTGCCGCGGCCTCGCCCGCGCACATCTTGCGCGCCTCCAGGGCTATCGCCTCTGGAATTTCCGGCGGAGGAGCCGCTGCTGCCGTTGTCTCCGGTCGGTTGGCTGCCATTGCCTTGGCGGTTGCGTCCGCCGCGTCCGCCACGTCCGCCTTGCTTACGGAAACTACGTGCACCCCCGTGCACGACCGTGTTGTGGGCACGGCCGTGGGCAGAAACCTTCCCCCTGATCTGCAGTGTATGGTACGCGGTCGCTCGGTGCGCGACATTTTCGAAGTCAAGATCCAACTCCGAGCCATCGGCTTGTCCGCACACCAGCGCGGCCTTAAGTTGGGCGTAGTGCTGGTCAGGAAGCGCGTTCAACAAGATATGCGTCTGGCGGGCTGGTACGACCTTGTCTCCAAGTGACTCGAGTTCGGAACTGATACGACGCAAGTCTTGGATTGCACGCGCCGGGTCGTAATCGTCCTCGGCAGTGACCGCAAGTGATCCTAACTCTCGCTGCAGTTCATGCATCCGATAGGTGCCCTTCTGGCGGTACTTCGCTTCTAGGGCAACGTATGCCGCACGTCCGTCCCCATGCTCACCAACGCGAGCGGGGCCGAAGGCTCGAACGACTTGGGAAGCAGTGCTCGAGAATCCATCGGCGCAGTCGGACGTAGCAAAGTTTAACCGTGTGTACAGTTTGCCGTTCTTACGTTTGAATTCCAGCGTCGTCCTGTCGAACGCAGCACGATCCGAATCCGCGCTGCTGGCCGCCGATGCCGGGGCGGTCTCCGTCCCAGCCATGATGTCGCCTAATCCTTGCTCATCCATGATGGAGTAGAACAGGCCACTCCAGCCGTGGAAATCTTCCGGCTTCCCGCTAAACGGGACGTATCCTTGTTTCAGGTAGTTCGTGGCGGACGCCATGCTGCTGCTGGGGTGTGACTCGATGTGAATTACCTACCAAACGCTAGGCTCATGACCTGACAACAGAATTGTAGTTGCTGTTTGTTGTGTAGTTGGCAGTGGTGGCGCAGTTTGGGTAGATACAACACAGAGTGATCATTAGATCCAAAACACAGGCGCCCAAGCTGTCTTCACCTGACGGTTACAGACTTGGAGACACGCCTTCACAATACTGCACAAAACCCATGCAGTAGAATAGAGTCAGTTCTTGCATACAAATCCCAACATCATGGACAGATCCTATGAGCTCTTTCACGCTGAAGGACGCACTTGTTTACCTGCACCTGGACGGGGCCCGGCTTACACCTTCATGTGAACTCCCTGAGAGCAATTATATTCGATGACAGATGTACAACATACCGTTAAAGGCCGATTTTGGCCAGGGAACGAACGCCTGAAAGATATAGCCTAGGTGCGAAAGTAATCACCTCGAAGTTGTTCTTGATTCCGATGTATGTGCGTTCAAGATCCTCTGGTGTATCACAGATTACAGATACCCGAGCCATATCAGTCAACCTGCGGACGTCTCCATTGTAGGATTTGTCGGCCTTGCGCTGCGAGCTTTCTGGCGACTTGACGCTCGCCTCTTGGTATCTGCAGCCACCATCGCATTCCTCGACAATCTCTTTCACGAGGTCGTCCAAACGGGTTTTAGAGCGGCTGGCTTCAGCAAGGAGACCCTGTAGATCAAAGCCGTTCTTCTGCGAAAGCGCACCATCAGGTGGCACGGGCACGATGTTCCGAAGACACGAAAGCCCGCCGGTCTTGTCGAGTTCAAAGACCATGTCGTCGTAGCTACGTTCGAATGATTTCACCGCGCCGGTTTGTAGAAACTTGAGGAGGTTGACCTTGGCGTCTCGTCGAAGGGGCGACTCAACGCCGCAGCTTGTACCGTTCAGGTGGGCCTCCAAGCGAACGAGCTTGTTGATATCGCAATGGTCATTCATCTGCAAAAAGTCGAAAGACATGCGATCGAATATAAATACTGTTTGGCCTGTGCACACCGGTAGCTGGACCAAGCAAAGCGTAGAACGGCTCACGCCAGGTGGCCGAGCTGCTTCCTCCAGCACATTGGATATCGAAAGGCCAGGGAAGTGCCAAGCTATATGCGAATTGGGGACAGCAGTTATCCACAAAGAGCAGAAGAGCCAGGACAGGCGGTTGATGCCGCAACACTGCTGTGGGGATATCTGATCAACTTGCCATAAACATGCAGGGCACATGACCTCAAGGTTTCAACATACACAGAAGTACGCCAACGGTTGAGCATTCAGGCGAAAGCTACAGCAGTAATTTGGTTCGGAACGCCTCGCCGCGGAAATAGAGCAGATCGCGGCGGCTTTGCGATTTGAGCACACTTGCCGCAGGGTAATGTAACGACGATCCCCCTGCGTGCCCCTCAGCAAGAAGCGTGAAATAATATTCCTGCCGCAAGAGAAAAGAGAAGATTTGCCGAAGGCACTGCTGTAGACTATTGTGTAACCCCAGCGACCAGCGACTTCATACATTATTTGAGTTAAATATGCGAATCCTAATGTTCTCCCGTGACCTCAAATAAAGGCTACCCGTTCGAGAAGATGCCCCGCTAGCAGGGATAGATGTTTGCGTAATGCAGTGCAACAGTAGTGCCCTCTCTGCCTCTATGAACGTTAGACTACTTCAACAGCGCAGCTGTGCTGACTGTACCGTCAGTAGAACCTCTCGGCGGAGTTGATCTGCCGGAAAGCGCCCCCCACTTTAGCCGCACACCTCTCTGGCGAGCTCCTAGAAAACAAAGCGAGGTCCACAACCTTGATCGGTGAAAAAAATATCACCCTAGGCACATCGCGAGCGTGTCGGGCGCGTAGTGCGTGCAGACGAGCAGACACGCAGCGCACGGAGTGTGCCGAGGGTCTACGCGGATGAATTTCCGGTTCTCCGGAGAACCGGTTTCTTTCGTTTTTTGCGCTCGGTATAATGCCATTCACGCAGAACAAATATAGGCGAGGGGGCGAGCTTTTTCTTATACGCGTTTGGGAACAAAGTCTGTCAGCGTGTATTCGACCTCCAATACTGAGTGCGACCACAGAATGCAGGGCACGGATTATGCCGATGGTCAGGGACAAGGAGATGGTCCAATGCCGACTGCTGTAGTAGCGGCAGGGTGTGATGCCGGCGGTGTGGAGGCTGACTGGGAGAAACTGGAAGAAACTGAAGAAGGTGGGCAAGTTGACGTATAGTCTAGGCACTGCTGATGCGTGATGCTTTTCCGAGCGACAGGAAAAGCAGCGCGGACGTGAAATGCCTGCTGGCGTTTGCGTTGTCGAGCAGTTGTTGGGTCTGCCGTATTGCGAATGAATGTGTACGTAGGGTTACTACTGCTCCATCTGCGTGTACTCTGTAGGCGCATCCTCCAAACCAGCAGCAGTTTCGCGCGGTTTCGGCAACGCGGTAACAGCGTTTCACGCAAGGCAGCTTGGGGCAGCTTGCTGCAATGTGTAGCAATAACCCGCGTTCGGTCTAAGAATAGCACTCCATCAGACAGACGAAGCAGACCACTCGGCCTCGGTCCTTGTATGCACGTATTGTGCCGCCCCTGTTCTTTCACGCCGTTTGTTTGCTGGGCAACCTTCGTTAGGTGCAGCAAAGCACTGCAAGTTGCGGCGAGATTTACTTCGTCTTCTTCCCCGAAAGAGGTTCCGGCTGACCTCATTTTCTTCTTGCCGGTGCAGCAGGGGGAGGCGATAAAAAGCGGTGTGAATAAGGCGGGATACCCGATATAAAGGGGGTCGAAATTTGCGCCCACAGCTCAGACCCGGAAGAAGGCGGTGGCACCGCCTTATACCGAGCCTGGCCCTGTATAAGGCCGTATCTACCTATCTAAAAGGCGGTGATTATCTTCGCAACAGTACGACTCTCTGGGAAGCATCTGAGCGAGTGCACATACAACAACAAATCATACGTGGCACATCTAAACCCGTGTAGCACTCCTACATAAGAATAGATAATGTTCTTGTAGAAGGATGAAGAATTTTCAAGGCTCCTCTTGGTAACGATTTCAATATAGTGACCATCTGTACGGGAACCAGCGACCACCGTAATTCGCGTATTTTCTGGATGGTAACTGGCCATCACGCACGGTATTTTGCTTGCGGCAACCAACAACCGCGGTAATGCACGGTAATACTGAGGTGGTAACTGGCCATCGTGGAATCCCCTTACGGGAACCAGCAGCCACCACCGTATGGCACCGTAATATTTGTGTGGTACAGTAACTGGCCACCACGCAATGCGAGGTATCGTTGGGTGGTACAACCTCCCGGCGATGCACCGTATTTGTGTTGGATGGGAGGGGAGAAGGCCTTTACTTGATAATGGTTTGGGCGGATATGGTAACTGCGTAAAACGTTACCAACTAGTCTACTTCTTCCGTGGAGTTCCCGCGGGAAACGTACCGCGGGAATTTTTCGTCAAGGATCCTTGGTAATTGTCTTTGAGCTGTTGTCTTCCATTCAACGTAGCAAAGTTTGTTGCAAAGAGGCGATGGATGGGTTAAGGAGATACAAGCGCCGGGAAGTATGTAGTACTTGATCCGTACCCAAGGGCCAAGCGCCATGGACGTAAAAACATCTGTTTCTTCCGTACACAACAGATTTTCATTTTTATTTTATGCCTTCCGACAATTGCAGATGTACCTCAGAAAACTTTCACTTAGTGTCTCATACTCTACGTGAATATTAAACCAATACGAAGTACAACAACATATGTAGGACTTATTTCTACTGTCACTTTTATCGTAAAAATATCTCCTCTTCAATTTAGTATAAATCCAATGACAATCCTCATGGTATCCTACATACGTTCGTAAGCTTGCTAAACTACTACTGCGTTGATGTCCTCTTGTAAAAGATGGAATCCAACAAATGCTTTGATCCATGCTACATCTCCGTGTTGGAAAAGCCCTTTCTTCTCCGTTCAGATTTTAAATTGTTGCATGGTGGGTCCATGTTGACTTATTTGTTTTTCTTTTCACTAAGGTAACAGAGTCGTTGTTCCTCGCATCGGCACATCGGCACCCAAGAGCGTGTGCGAGGGCTTTTGTGCTGGCATCAGATGTTCATGCCGCTTCTGAAAGTAAATATTGCTGTCATTAGCTATCTACTGCAAGTCATCAGGCTCGAGATACATGTATGTGTGAATACATGGTGAACGTAACGATGCTCTTCCACTCAACAAAGCGCCGTGAGGTAATAACCGAACCGATGCGAACCTCTGTATTTTGCCCTGAATACGGCGGTTTACAACTTCATTCAAAAACAAGGCGGCCGCCCGACATTGGGCGATTTTATTCACCACGCACACCACCGCCTTTTATCGGGCCCCCTACTGTGTATACTTTACGTCCAGACCAAGAGGTAGAGCAGAAAGATCCACAGCACTCTCGGAGGAAGTGTGGCGGGTCCCACAAGCGCTTTGAAGCAAAATCAAACTATGGAGTTGGAATTGAATGTGCGTCGCAATAGCGAATAGCCTGGTTGAGGCTGCGCTGATTTGCAGTTGTGTCGAGATGGGGAGATGAGCTACGGCCTGTGAGACCCTGTGAGCCCCTTGAGAGCCGCACGGGCCGGGAAAACCCTGAACACCCTACAGCAGTATCGCATACCGTGAGAGGGGCCAACGGTACGCGCGAAAATAATCCTCAGCACACGGAAGCCCATAAATCGTGCGGAGGCGGGGGGCGGCATTTGTTCAGAGATCCCTGGGTTTTGTGCGGAGGCGTTGTGGCTTAGGCGGGGACGTGAACCCGAAATCCCGTAGTTGTATGATGAGGACATTTCGCCCAGCCTTGCTGAGGAGGTTGCTGCCTCTTTTTTGAGCATGTGACGGCATACGGGCTTGGAGAACCCCCGAGAGGTGGCGGGCATGTGCACGCCCCCAGGCTTTTCTCTGGAAGATTTTCATGCATACCCCGAATATCGTTCAGGAGCGACCTTTAGTTGTCAATACTACAATCTGTCTGTGTACGCTTGCATGCACTCTCTTGATCGTGCCTTCCCTTGATCGTGCCTACAGATGTCAGTATAAAACCTCTTGGTCGCGGGCATCGTAGACCTGCTGTGCAATGTAGTGTCGAAGCCACAAACCCGAACGTCCCAAGGTCACAACGCTCAACGAATGGCGCTCTCGTGTCTTGCCAGGGATTCATGGCAACTTTTCAAAATTCCCTCACCGCCCATGGGGGGCTTCCGTGTTCGAGATTTTCGTCCGTGAACCCCCTTGGACGGGCGCAAAACCACAGACAGCGGGGGCGCATTTTACTGCGGTTTTACATTCTTGCGGCGGTGGTGTCAGCTTGCTGCTGCTGTGGCTTGTTGTCGCGCGCTGCTGTTGGTCAGCATAGACTACGTGGAGCAAACAATATTTGCTCAATTGTTGGCTGTGGAACTCGTTGTGTGTGGTGTCCGAGTGTTAAGACTCCGTCTTGGTGTGAGGCAACGTGGTGAGAGCGTGACAACGGCAGTCATGCAGATTTTCCCATCTTACCTCTAGTAGACCGCTTTTTGGAACTCTGGGTTGTGCGGTTCGCCCAACTCTGGGTTTGATTGAACCATATTTTATTTATTTCAAATGTTAGTCCGCTGTTCTGACCCAAGCTTGCTGGAACTTCAGGTACAAAATAAACGAAGCGGTCTTGTCATCATTTCACCCAATCATACCGGAAATTCTGTGGGTCATTTGTCCGAGTGTGAAGTCTGGGTGTACAATTCTGATTTTGACCAGCCCTTATACTCATCCGGTTAGGGCATGGAGTAAACTCTGAGTGCATTGACGAAGCTTTTTCAATCTGAACTCAACTTTTCCTTGCTAAGGTACATTAGTAGCTGCTTGCTGCCGCCTTTTAGGGAGGGCAATACACAACCCCCTTGCCCCCCCCCTCCGCCCCTTTTTTTTGGTGGATACACACGCCATCCACTTTTCCCCGAAGACGTTGAACCTTTTTATATTTTTTTTCAGATATCATCGTCCCGGCCTCCCTGTTCGTCATGTGCAAGACCGTGGTGGAGGACGATGGCGGCGGACTATTCCTGAACGGGACTCTCGTCCAAAGAGTCTTGGTGAGGAACGTTCCAACCACTTCCCTTTCAGACGGCACGATCGACGCTACGACCCAGTCGAAGCTGGAGTCGTTGTTGTTCCCGATCCACCTAAAGGGCCCACTCCCCGGCGGGGACATCAAGCATAGGACGCTTTACATCAATGACCCCCGTAAGCCCAGCGATGAAGAGGTCGAAGCGCCAGGGACAGTTCAGTTATGCGCACAAACACTGGACCTCATCAGCGCTCCACTCGACGTCCGCCAACACTGGAACAGGTGTGTACGAATTTCATGTGGAACGATTGATCCTATTCTCTAGACTATTTAATCCGTGACCCTATCCCTTAGAACCAACCATCCTTGTACAGTCAGGCTTGCGCCTGACCCTCTTTTTGGGCCGATTTTCTGTCACACGGGCCTACATTTGAGCAGACTTTAATTCCTTCCTGGTTGTGTTTCGACCAATGAAAACCCACCGATTTTGACAGTCGAGTCAACTTTCAGGCGAACAGGCCACAACCACCTGTGTTCGAGTGTGTTTTTTGTTTTATTATTTTTTTTTGTTTTTTTGGGGGGGCGTGGGTGTGGACCCGAGTAGAGAGCACACACGACAGCAGCCGCATTTAAAGTGTATGGTGCGGTGCTCCGCTCAACTGGCCGAGAACCACCCTCCCGCGGACCGTCGCCACGGAAATGGCCGACGACGCCGGTGAGGGTCAGGCCCAACCCACGGCTGCTGCACCTCCTCCTCGTCCTCCTCATGAACCACCCGAAGTCCTCAGCGAAGAAGGTCCAATTTTCGCTCACCGCACCGGGTGCCTGCTCCACGTGCTCCATCTCGCTGTCAACGCCGGGATGGAGTGCGAGTTTTTCATGGGCCCTCTTGGGAAAGGTTCCCAGCACGAGTGGGAGTACAACCACCTCGTCGTATGAAAAGTCTGAGTCTGCGGCGTCAGAGAATCTGAGTTGTACGTCGGAGGAGGAGAGCGGCGATGACGCGGAGCCCTGAATATTTTTGTTTCGAAGGTAGCTTGGAAGAAATCGATTTTTTTCAAGTTGACATCAGAAAGGACATGTATCCAACCCCACCCTTCCCCAACTTTCGCGAGGTTCAAGTCACACTGCGTCGTGAGTGGAGTGTCCACAGCTACTTTTGGCGCTGGAACGGTGGCAAAATCTGCTCTAGCGGTCGCGGTAGAGGCTGTGCGCGTAGGACAAAGTTGATGTATGATGCGCGAAAGCCTCTCCATCCCAAAAATTCAACCGCGGTGCGTGCGCGTGCGTGCGTGTGTGTGTGTTTTCAAGTTGACATCGAAAAGGAATCGCATCCGACCCCACCCTTCCTCAACGTTGGCGACGTTCAAGTAGCATGGAGTCGTGAGTGGGGTGTCCACAGCTACTTTTGGCGCTGGAACGGTAGCAACAGCTGCTCTGGCGGCCGCGGTAAAGGCTGTGCGCGTGGCACAAAAGTTGATGTATGATGCGCGAAAAACTCCACACCGGAAAAATTCAACCGGCGGCGCGTTTGCGTTTTTTCAAGTTGACATCAAAAGGAAATCGCAATCCATCCCTCCCCTCCCCAACCTTGCCGAGGTTCAAGGGGCACTGCGTCGCGAGTGGAGTATCCCCAGCTACTTTTGGCGCTGGAACGGTGGCAAAAGCTGCTCTAGCGGTCGCGGTAGAGGCTGTGCGCGTAGGACAAAAGTTGATGTATGACGCGCGAAGACTCTCCATCCCAAAAATTCAACAGCGGTGCTTTGACCATCGAGACCCGATCTTGGAAGAGGTGCTGTGCGGCGTCGTAGTGGTGGATTGTGGCGCGGTTTGTTTGGTGGCCTTCGCAGAAACCAGAGCTATGCTTATATCGATGTCATTTCGCGCAATCACCCCACACGCGCGACGCCGCTGCTGAAACCTCTGAAAAACACCGAAAATCACTGGTTTTTAGAGTCTAGACTGGCTTTCTGGTGTCCATTCCAAAAACTGAACAACAATCACACGCAAATGGTCTGTTCACAGGTCTCTGTCCAATATCAAGAGCCAGTTTGATTGTGGGAGCGAGTATTCCACGATACCAGGTCATGCTCTAATTTTAAGTTAAACGCGATCTGGCGTTGTCGGCAGGTAGTGCGGACCAACATTCCTTTCGGAAAATCACAAACACAAAAAACGAATAATCGGCCCACGCGCAAACACAATTTGGGGGAGCCAGGCGCAAGCCTTACAGTAGGTAGATGCTGTGTCGATTGGCCCACACTTGGTACTGTAGGGTAGGCTGGTGCGCTGCGGCGTGACTTTTCCGGAATGCAGCGACACTACAATACAAGAAAGGCGTTCCCAGACTCGCATTCCAATATGGAGAGCATGGAGAGTATGGACTGCACTATTTTCGACAATATTCAAGAACTGCTCGAGCAGTAAGGGTCCAGGTTCTTGTCCCCGGTGGTGAGTGTGTTGAATGTTAGTCACCATGTTTTGGAGCCATTAACCTTTTGGTGTAGTATGCGTACGTACACCAGTTGGCTTTGTTCTGGAAAAAGTTACGAGGCAGCTTTTGCGGCGAATATTTTTCCCTGCCTTAGCTCCTGCGTTGCTCGCCCTAGGTTTCATATCAAAGAGGGCTTTGCTGTCGCTTTCACTCGTCGATCGCGAGGGCATGTGAACACGCACGAGTTTGTCGTTCTCGAGGAGGACATCCACTTTAGTTGGAGGGAATTGGACTGACCGGGCGGCGGAACACTACCATTCCACCGTCCACAAGGGTCCATCAACTCCCGTACGTCATCACGTTTTGTTACCGGGGCTTCGTGTGGAAACGCGAAGAGATAGCTTAGCTACAAAAGCTGGAAAAAGATTGGAAGGGAAGTTAGAGCTCTTGCGTTTTCCTTTGGGGCTTCTCCGGAAACTTCTGCGTATCGTGGCATGTATCTTAGGCGTGTTTCGCGTAGTCTGTACGTCATCAGCACCTGTACGAAACCCTGGACAAAGTTTTACGTTGCAGTTGATGGTAAACAAAATGTTCGCTGCAGGTCTCGGTCGATTTCACTTTGGCTATGCGTACGTGGACGGTGGTTCATTTTTTATTAGCATCGACAGCGCAATAGGCCAGCGAGAAGACGTATTTCATATGGCGGGATTCAAACCGCCACGGTGACAAGGCCGTCTTTCGTAGATATGGTGGGCACGGCAGCCGGCTGACCAACAGACTTTGTCAGTAACCATAGTCACTGACAGGGCAAAGAACACGATTTAAAAGTTTGTGGGGGTCATCTAATTCACTCTGTTCTGGGCGTCGACAATTCACTCCATGTTTTCGCTGCATGCCATGTTCTGGGCGCACCAGTTCGCGTCAGAAGAAGAACGAGATCGAACATTTTGTTCAGTTTCTCAATATCTGTGGTGCTGACCTTCCGGGACACGGCGAGAATAGCGCAAGATGTCTTTCCCGCTCGTCGACTGTGCAGTCGACTGTTGTATCAAACTTGCAGCTGTACACGTCTGTGTTGTTCGGCCATTGGCTTCAATGCGTCGAGATCCTTTCTCAAACATCAGAAGGGTTCGGGTGTCCCGCTGAATCGCTGCTGAGGTGTCCCATCCATAGCAGATGTGAAAATAACGAAAAATCTGTATTTCTCCCTATTGCTGAAAAACAGCCTCATCGCAATACCCGCTGTCAAGTCAACAGCGTTTGGGAGAGCGACCGAAGAGCCTGTTACTCTCAGTCCCATTTAGCAACAGCTTGTTTTGCGATTCTGCACACTCGGTACTCATCCTAGCAGCACGATTGTGGAAACGTGTTTTGTTTGGCAGCATCACCTTGTCAATTGACTGACAAATGAAAAGATTCAGACTGTTTGGGCGAGGTTGGTTGTTTGCATCAGACCAAGCTTTGCGGAACGTCACTCTTCTGGACCTGTCGGTAGATGTGAACGCTGCAGTCGGGCAAACCGTAGGCACGCCACCCAATTTCTTCCTTCCTTGGGCGAAATGCTTACCATCATTGTGGTTTTTCAAAGGATTCGGCTACCATTCGTTCGTGGACCGTGACTCCGAACTACGAATGGTCGTAGACGTTCCTGACGTACTGCGTTTTTGATGGGCGGACGTGTTATCTTTTTCCCCGGGTTGAGACGCTCACAAATTCTGCCTCGAGGAATGACTAGTGATGTCCCAAAGTTTTCAAGTACCTCAGGACGCAAGTATGATCGGGTTTTCTCCAGTGACTTCGATAACAGAAACTACAGCCAAGGTGGCGCGATGGGAGAGCCGACCATGTTGGTTCACAATACCTCAAAACGCAAGCCTCGCTCCGGTGAGGACTGTGGCGAAGTCCCTTCGTAATTCACGGGAGCTGGTAGTGAGTGTCCCGGTGTTCCGTACAGCATGTTCGAATAATTATAATGGGACGGGCAACCTAAATACATGGGAAATGGAAACAGAAAACGAACGGGTTCTCAATACAAACTGAACTCATCGCTTGGTAGAGTGAAATTGCGGTGCTTAACAAAGTCATTGGCATTCTGTGTTGCATATCGTTTATTTGGTGGTGCAACATGTGGGCGTGGTACGCGAGCAGTAGCAAGGAGCATGGATTACGGCAAAGCAGCTGGTGCTTGAAACTCGCCGACTCTGCTTCCCTGGCTCTGCCGTTGAGTCGCCCCCCCTGCGAGTCATGTATCTCGCCTCCTGATGGCGTTCCACACCTCCATGGTTACTATAACATCGGCTTCATCTGTCGATCTGCAAGGGTCCAATATTCTAAAATGGGTATCCTGGTTCAGGCCCCTTCGTATATAGCGGGTTGCATGGTCCAAAATCGCTGGAAGACTATATTTGAAACGTTGGACTCGCGACATGAGCAAGAGCGTCCCGTTGCTCATTTTTGTCTCGCCAACCATGGTTCCTTGTCCTGTAGGTTCCCTTTCCGGATCCTGGAAGGAACTATCGAGTTGGAGCTGCAGTCGAGCTTCCGGCATAAAGATTTTGGATCCAAGAAGATCCTACTATGTCCAGACCTATTGCGCCCGGTGCTCGATGACTTGTCGGGGAAGGCATTGCAGGACAGATTGGAGAAGATCATCCGTATCAAGCCCTCAAGTGGCCTCAGCCGGCTGCGTAGGCTGGCTTTCCTGAAAGAACGACCGGTGGTCGAGGTATGAGTCTTACTACGAGCATTACGATGTGCGGAATGGTGGACCGCTCATCGCAATGAAGGGTAAGGGTTCGAGGACCGGACACTCTATACCGGCTTCGATTTACGCCGATGATTGTGTTGGAAACAACACGAGGGCACGCATCCCTTGGAGACTACGTCGTCGATGCAAGTCTTGACCAAGCACCGGATGAGCTAGATCCATCCATGTACGCGTTGTATTTGCAGTTTGTGTTCGCAACACCACGTGGCGTCAGGCGTGGAAAACGTACCCTCCTCATGCCATGCGGCACGTTTCGTCTGCGACACCTGCTGCTTGTCAACTGCGTGTCCCGTTGCGCCTGCGCCTGTACCCCAGCTCTGCCATGAGATTCGGTGGAAGAAAGGAGTGAGACGGGCAGACGATGGGGCTGGTCTTGACAACAATTTGTTGATCAGGTACCCTCAACTGACACTGAAGTTCTGGCTCTACGAGCCCATCAGCAAGGCCGTTTTCAAGATTGTGGGTCCGCTTGCTCTTGTTCTCGCACTGATGCTGGTGAGATACATTGGCTCATACCCGATAGGGGCAGTTGAGAGCAATGAATGCGGCGTGTGCTTTGGTTTTGGGATGGAAATAGATTGTGCAAGGCCAATCAAGCCTGGGGTGTCCGTAGCCGGCATGTTTCGGCAGTGCAAGTGTGTGCGAAATTCCAGTCTAGTTTTTGGTCGGATCAAACAACGCATCATTCCATCTTGCTTCGCAATTATTGCCTTTCCAACTAGAATATTGCTGACTGAAATTTCGATCCCTCGTTCGAAAAACGTGGGACAGTTGTGAGGGTTCCATCGTGGTGCGGTGCAGGAAGACCAGAAGCTATCAGATCGCCACACTTCTTGCGCGACCATATCCAGCACACCACAACGCCTGGCGGATTTTCTTCAAGGCCGATGTGCAATGCATTTAGCGTTGAAAGTTTGGGGGGTGAAATCTAGCGACTTCCCTCGACAAAAACATCGGTTTGTATTCGAAGTTCCAGTTAATAATATATGGATACCACACAAAATTGCCTGAGAAATACCACCGTGCATGTCCGTTACGTTCTAATCGCCGGGAGTGTCCCCAGCACTGACAGTTGTTCGTCTGATATGATGATTGCGACCCTACCCATTGCCTGAACGCCCGTCGATTTCGCGCAACGCGTACTTGAATGATACCGACAGATGAATTTCCAGGAATTCTTCGGCTTCTCCGCTGCGGTCCAAAGCAACGACTGCTTGGAACAGCCAGAGAGCGACACGTACAGGGACTACCTTTCCAATGGAATCGGCATCGTGCTTGCAGCATTTTTTGCGATCCCATCCATTCGTGAGGGGAGCATCAAGTCGCCCGGGATCAGGTGAGGCGACAAAAACACACCTTGTTCCTGCTTTGTCCTATGTTTGCGCCCGCGCGTTGGCATGATGACGCCCTCCAATTCATCCTTGTCGTGCGTCTGGCCCGTGCGCGCAGCTTCAAGCGTGACGACGGCATGGCGGTGGCGTTCCTGATTGGACTTGCGCTCTCAAACGTACGCCAGTGCAAGGTGGCTCTGGTTGGCATCCTGCTTAGCTGCGTGGTGGTAGTTTGGGCGCTGATCTCGTTCGTATGGTTCATGTTCGAGCTGCGAAGGTTGCGGAAGCGCGCTGAGCGGGACCCTCTTCGTGTGCACGAGGTCACGGAGGCCAAGAAAAAAAAGGCCAAGCCCCGGGTGAGTGCTCGCAACCCAGAGAGGGATTTCAGAGTTGTTGTGTCCAGTAGCCATTTCTTCTTTCCTGCCTGCAACAATGCCCACTTCGATATTAAGGAACCCATAGGGTGTCCGAATTATGCCACCTGCTGTATGAGGGGGCGCGCGTTCCGACAAATCAAGATTATGCTGGGTAGGCCGAAATTTCGCGCAGTGTCTTCCCCGATTCCACTATATGCAGTGTTTCCACGAAACCCTCCTGATGGCGGCGCACACATCGGACTCACGTCTTTTCTCCGTGTTGGAAGACGGGTGAGTGTTAGGGGAGGAATTGATATTGATCATAGAAACACAGGGAACGTTTTGTTGCAAGTAAACTGTCCTCCACGGCACAGGTGCAGTTCGTGAGTGTCTCCGAATAGCACCCCCTTTGAACCATGCCTTCCTCCACGCGCTGTTTTCTTTTCGCAAGGCCATCGAGTTCGACAAGGAATGGTGGACGCGGCGGAGATGCGAGCCGAAGTGCCCAAAGTGTCTTCAGGCCACCTAGAGCTTATCGTTGAGGCCGCTGTCGGCGAAAACGTGTATATGGCTTTCCCGGCATCGGGGAATGGAAACATATGCTCCCGTGAAGTGTCGTGCTTTTATACTGTCGAGTTTCCGGGGTCGCAAGTTTACAGTGAGTGTTGACACCCCATCGACGAATCCTTGGCGAGAAAACAAGTCGGTTGAAGTGCGTGACATCGTGGCGTAGGTTTTTGACACCATGCTGCGTAGCGAGCCTGTAAACGAGTGAGGAGCTTTCTCTGCTTGATACAATACGGTTCATGTTTCAAGTTTCTCTTGTGTGTGATTGCAGGGTTGGGTTGAATGTTTCTGACATCAGACGATCTTCTTCCAACCGAGAACCGAAAACCTGGCGCTCTCTTATGGCACAGATGTACCGTAAATGATGTATCAACTTCTTGATGATCGGAGGCTGAGTTGATTTATGTCAAGGCTTGAAAGGTGTGTTTTCCCCCATTCATTATCGTAGATTGCGCAGGCTACCTCCCGGTCGGACGCGTCCAACTGAAGAGCGCCGGTCCGGTCGTGTATGAATTTGAGCGTTTTTTTGTGGTAGCGCAGGTGAAAGATTCTGAGATTCCTCTCCGACTCTTTCCCAGTACCGTGTTTTTTCACGGCGGAGCCGTAGACGTTCGACACGAATTGCGTACTGTAGTGATTAGAGAACCCGCAAAGGCAGCAGCAGCTGGAGCAACAGATAGATAGGCAAGAGCATGATCAAAATCATCAACCTTTTCATTTGGTCCGCGTGCAAAGATGACCGCCGAATGCCTTGCTGATTTCGACCAGCTCGTCGAAAGATGACCAGCAACAATACTGGGCCTTTGCGAGAAACCTCGGTCCGCGGGCGACCCCGCCAGTTTTGATTAATCGGGCGAGCCTGTATGTACGTAATAATTGTCAGATGGCGAGGGAAACCATGGGACATAGCCCGGACCGACCCATCGAAAAACGAATTTTATAATCCTTTGCCACCATGGTACCTTGCCTGATCGATCGAAGGCGACTCCCCGGTGTGCCCGCAGAAATTGATACATACCGCTTCTTCCCCACCCCAAAAGATTTGAACCCAATTCTACGCGGTTGGGCCAGACAGAAAAAATAATAAAATTAAGGCTGCCGCCGCCGGCATCGGCGGCGCTTGGTAGACGGGTTTACGGGTGTTAAATTGATGNCAGGCGACTCCCCGGTGTGCCCGCAGAAATTGATGCATACCGCTTCTTCCCCACCCCTGCCGCTGCCGGCATCGGCGGCGCTTGGTAGACGGGTTTACGGGTGTTAAATTGATGCTACATTAAGGACGCCCCGGTGGTCTAGTTGGTATCCTCGAAACCTTCCTAGTCTAGAGGTCAAGTCAGGGGTTCGGATCCCGGCGTAAGCGAGCTTTTGTTGCAAAGTGAGATTTTCCCTCGCTTTGTTGGCCTAGTGGATAGCGCTAGTTCGTGTGTACACAGGGAAATTAGTGCAAAACTCTTCTCCCATTAAAAATCGAAGGCAATGCACCGCAGGAGGGGAGGGTAGATAAGGGCTCTTCTGTGTGGCAACGGGCTGGAATAAACGGCACTAAATAGTGCTGTGAGCGCTGTTTTGAAATGAAGTCAAAAATAAGAAAAATAGACCACGANGGAAATTAGTGCAAAACTCTTCTCCCATTGAAAATCGAAGGCAATGCACCGCAGGAGGGGAGGGTAGATAGGGGCTCTTCTGTGTGGCAACGGGCTGGAATAAACGGCACTAAATAGTGGTGTGAGCGCTGTTTTGAAATGAAGTCAAAAATAAGAAAAATAGACCACGAACCCGCAATAGGTGAAAAACTTGCACTGCGGCTCACACTGTAGGCAAGGTACGGAAAAGCGAGCGAGACGAGTGAGAGAAACAGCACAGGATACGCGCTCCCGCTTCGGCTCACGAAGGATAACTGAATGCATGGTTCTGGTCCGGGAATCCTTGTGGGGCTGAGGTAGGCAAAGCTAGGGCTGCACCTTGTCATGGTTTCGGCGAGAAAGCAACCAGCACGCCATCCACCAGGTGCAAGGCCGCCACGCCCATGTCTTCCCGCCGGTCGATAGGTACCATATGCACGGTGGGTTGTCGCCATCACTTCGGGCAAAAGGCCTGGAGGATGCTATCTGCAGCGGGCGCATCAGACACGTCAACACCAACGACTCCTGAGAAGTGGTGTTCCTTGCCCTGCCCGCCGGTGTGTGCGTGCAGGACAGCGATAGCTCTGTCGTGTTTAGCCCTACCAGGCATATCAGCCTGGCTCGCGTCGGCGATTGGTACTTCGATCCCGCACAACTGTTCCTGGCATTGGAGCGCACCGTCGCTGGACACCGCCTGGAAGCCGTTCCCGCCTCACTTCGCGAGACCTCGGAGGTGAGCCGGCTGGGTATCGACGAACAGGGGTGCGTTAAGTGACGAAGGTGTCGCCATCCGTGCGGGAGCGCAGTGTGACAGAGGCCATGCCCCCCCCCCCAGGCTCAGCTTTGATGCCTTCTCGCCGACTACACAGTATACGCCGATCGCTTCATCACCTGAGGGGTCGTGGCGTAGAGGACTTCTTCCATGGGCTCTTTGAGCCTGACCTCCCCCTCCCAGCTGGCGACACAGAGAGTAATGCTGAGCAAGACCCGGTTGAGACATAGTCCGGCGAGAAGACGAGAGCAACTCTGGCGGAAGGCGGGTGCAACATGCAAGGGCTCGTTCGGAGGCTTTCAAGGACATGCACTGCTTCGGTACTGACGAACAAAAATGTTGTGTCGGCGCTGCCCTCGACGATAGAAACCGCGTAGGGGAGGGGCATGACGTATACCACCGCGGCGTCGGCGAAACGGCCGGAGGTGCCTCAACGTCGCCGCCGGAAGAAGGTTCGTCAGGGGGTCACACATCGCAACAGAAAGAGCGATGGAACTGGCACGACACAAGTTCAGGCTAGGCGCCAGCATCGGAGTCAGCGAGTGAAATATGAGGACGGGGGACGGCGTGTACACCGATGGTGCTTCACATGCTCATCGCCGAATGCATGGGTGCGAGTTCGACCGCTGCAGTAGGTTGGTGTTGACCTCACCGGTGAACGGCAGATTCGAGAGAGGGATAGGTGGGAGTCATGCGTCATTTCCCACCCGCGGGCCAACATCTTCCTACCTGTAGGAGGCACTCTACTCGGGCTTCGAGAAACCCCCCGAACGGTGTCCTTTGGTTGACTCCCTCCGTCCCACTATCGTCTGCGCGCGCCCCGAGAGTGCGTCGCCGCATATTGTGGGACGATTTGTGATTCGATTCTGTCGCGTGGTGCCCTTCGGAGGGAATTGTTCAATGTCGTCAGCTCGGCCCTGACACGACCACGTCCTTTCCGATTCCTACGAACAGTTGTTGGGAATGATACCCATCGCCGCCGAAAAGTTGCGACATTGCGCTGACCGGGAGCCTCGGTAGGACCGCGGCGCCAACGTCGGTGGAGGAGCCCAGGCCGCTCGTCAACACCGATTTCATGCTTGACAACGCGCTAGTCTACTGTTCATGGTGATAGAGATAATGTGTCCGTGGAGCTTCCCGCGTCTTATCACAACATGGCGCACCCTTTACCTCATCACAATATGGGATACTCTTGTTTGCAGCCGCTTTTCGGGCGCTCCTGCGATCGCGTTGATTGATTGCGGTTTTTTCATAGTTCCTTCCAGCTCTCGTGTACCTCGGTGACTCTTGCGAAACAAATGTTCCGACCACGCACGGATGACCAGAGAACAATAAGTGGCGGCGTACGAGGTAGCCCACGCCACCATGCTCGTGTCGTGAATGTTAGGGAAATCGTTAACCCCCAAGAAGTTTGACCTTCGCGCGATGATACGTCAACAGTACCTCGGTATGCCGTGATAATATCGCCTGAAGAAAGGAAACTAAAAGAGATCCATGGCGGCTTTACCACCACTGTCCTCTTTCTACTGTAGTACACAATCAGCGTATCGTGGGCTTTTCACGAGCAGGGAAGTTGCGAGCCGCCGGCTTCCTCATGGTAGGCCGCGGGCTATGTTTGATCATGTGCGACACCAGTGATGACTTGCTTAGGGCTCCACCAGTTGCTGACAATTTTACCCACATCACCCGAACCCCCGTGGCAGCATTTTCCCGCCTCTCTTTCCAGCGGGGCATCCGACGCCTCCTCCACCGAATGGGTGTGAGGAGTCGTGAAAACGGTCATGAGACATTTCCTTGAGGTGGATGTTTTGTCGGGTAAACGGTTGTCATGAGCATGATTGCGGAGATGATCGCCCAGTTCCACCTCCTGCGACAGTTGTGTACCAGAGTAGGTCCCCTAAAGCCTTGTGTCATGCGAATCGTCGTTGACAACAAATCAGTGGCGGGGATAATGACCCGCGGCTGGGCACGCGATCGTGGATTCACCCGTTGCTGTTTCAGCTCTTTGACTCGCGCACGAGGGTGGTACTCTATAGCCTCTGTGGCGTACGTTTAACCTCTAGTTTATGATATTGCCACAGACCAGGCATCTGCCGCAATCCAAGGAGTCGGTTTACACATTCACCTCGGGGAGCAGTTGAGGCGAGCAGTGGGCGTTTTAGCAGATGTGGAACGTATGGAAAGGAAAGCCTTGCGCACGGTCACCGAGTACATCTCCGCGGCCCAGCGTATCNTTGAGGGTACTCTATAGCCTCTGTGGCGTACGTTTAACCTCTAGTTTATGATATTGCCACAGACCAGGCATCTGCCGCAATCCAAGGAGTCGGTTTACACATTCACCTCGGGGAGCAGTTGAGGCGAGCAGTGGGCGTTTTAGCAGATGTGGAACGTATGGAAAGGAAAGCCTTGCGCACGGTCACCGAGTACATCTCCGCGGCCCAGCGTATCGGTTGAATACAAAGGAATGGGCAATTTTTCGGGATACCGTTCGCGGAGGGTGGCCGGGGGGGTGTCTTGTTTTGTGCGCGACGGCCACCCCGCAGCTGCCAGATCGTCCCACCACTAAACCCTCTCTCATTTTGAGTAAGGGACTTGCTCGGGCAGTCTCTCGCGGAAACCTCGGTGGATAACGGCATGGGAGAGGAATTTGAAAGAGAAGAAGGGTTGGAAAGCGCTCCATTGGGGCTTTCAACATGCGCCGCAGTCACCGAAATAGTTTGGCGGTGGGAGGGGCTCGCAACAAGCTTGCAACTACTGTAGCAAATACACGTGGGATCGTTAACTGCGGACAACCGCAAAGTCGTGACATGCACGACCTGCTTCTTCTCATGTGTGATGATCTCCGGACAGAGTGTGGCTTGTCTGTCGTCCTTTCGTGGATGCCTGCCG